ATGTGTGTGTGTGTGTATCTCTCTGTGTGTGTGTGTGTGTGTGTGTGTGTGTATATATTTGTATATTCACAAATATATTGTGTTAGAATTTCTATGGTCTACGCCGATCACATCACGCAGAAAATAAAGCAATATACATAACATCCATAAAGCTATAAAAAACTGAGAGGCCATATCCTACTGTCGAGATAATATCCTAAAGGGCGGCCCCACCTCTGTATTCGATAGGTTTCATACGATGTAGTGTTCCAAATCGTACTTGGGAGAAAATTTATGTACCAGATTGCTCACCATAGCGTATACGCTTGGTGTCATACTTTTTGTAGCGATATCCCAGAACTGTGCGAAACCAAGTGAACGTTTAGCAGTGCTAATTGACTTTATATTCAGTAGGTGTAAGCCCTGTTACTTCACAAACACAACAGGCCCCACAAGAAGTTTAACTTACACGTAGTAGCTATGCTGACAACCAACTCATCTGTAGGATACCACATGGCTTGGTTTTCAATACTGAACGCTTTTGCTCGCGGCGAAACAATCTCTCTCTATTTGTGGGGGGCAGATGTGCCCTTTAAATACTCAATATTACGTCGTTCACAGCCACGCTGGACACTCCCGAGTGTGCTTTGACAGCTAACCCTCGGATTCAACATGCACAATCCATACGCAACACTACACGGATGCTCCCTGTCCATAAATAGATGATACGCCTGATGCACTCTTCCTACCCCATACTCCAGCACTGATTATCAACTACTCGTCGAGTCGACCCCAATTCCCTTTCTTCTCCTGATCCTTCACGTAATCGGCCACCGATCCTGTCCACTTGGAGAACCCATCCATCCAAGTGTAAATATACCCGCCCTCGGGCGACAAAGCGGTATCCTCCATGTCTCCCACCCACTCCTCTGGGTTGAATAGTAGATTAGACGGGTTCCGCCTAGCTTTCAGCTTGCTGTCGTCTATGAGCAAAGTATTCTCTTTCGTAAAGTGCACATCTGCCCTCCAAACTTTGTGCAGATCTTTTATCAGGAGAGGCTTGTGTTTGTTCTCTGGATGCTTGGCGACATCACAGCTGCCCTGGTGCAGCAGGAAGTACACCCGCTTCAAATCCTCTGGACGAAATACCACCTCCATAATCGACCGAACATTCTTGTCCATCATAGAACTCCAAACAGCCACGTGAAAGTGGGTGAACAGGAAATCGATAAACTCTACCACATACGGCCGTATCAACACACCTTGCGGCTTCCCCTGTAGGTTTTTGATAAATTTGTGGTTGGGATGCGTAGAAAAATTCTGACCCCTAGTTCTGTGCACCAACAAGCCGTTCAAGTCCAGCACCACCAGCTTCATTCCACAGGCACTGTCCAGTCGGTGGTTCAGGACAGGGTTGTGACCAGCCCAGCCCAGCAACTCAATGGCATCAAGGTTATGATCCGTTTCAGAATTGATATTTTGGTGACTATTATTCTGGGATGTAAGATTACCCTTTTCAGATGTGTTGATACTTTTCCGTACAGTAGAGTCCACAACGCCCCGATCATACCCTCTTCCGCGCGGCTCCGGTGACTGTTCATCTGGACTGTGATTGCGCGTACGATGGCTTTGTCTACGCCTGTGATCTGCTCCTCTGTCTTCTCGTGCCCGTTTTCTGATGCCAGCGTTATTATACCTATCGCCGCCAGTGTTGTAATACCCATCTTCACGAGTGTCACTATACCTGTCTGAACCAGTAGCATTATGTATGTCTCTGCCAGGACTATTGTACTTATCCCCAGCAATGTTATTGTACCTATCCCTACCAGTACTATAATACCTATCACTGTCAGTATTATTATATCTGTCTGCACCATTGGTACCATACCTATCTCCATCAGAATTGTTATACCACCCACCGCCAATATTATTATACCTATCCCCACCACTATTATTATATCTATCACCGTCGTTAAAATTCGATGTGCTCGCTATGTGATCGCGGTCTCGATTACCAGTCCCCCCATACCGTTCCGAACTCGTATGGCGTACATAACGGTTCGTGTGGTTCGTGTAACCTTCTATTTCTCCACTTCTATCCGCAACCCTAGTCTTCTTGGGTATTTTAAATTCGCTCGTCGAACTTGCTGTCTTCCTGGGAACATCATACTCAAACC